TTTACACACGCACACGCATATAAATTATATACAGTGTGTGTTATAAAGTCTTATTGATTTGACCAAAAATAAAATAAAATAAAAGGTGTGGTGACTTATTGGTAATACAAGTGGGTTTGTTTTTTTGTGTCCCGGATTCAAATTTTCTTTGGTATGGAGGGTTATTCTTTAAATCGGAATATCCAAAGACTGTCTCCGGATACCGAGTAGATTATGAGCCAAATGTTCGGAATTCAAACGGTTTATTAAAAAAAATCTAATTGGTAGGAGAATAATAAGGAGAAATAAACGGATGGAAAAGACCAAAATCTGAAGAAACTTGGAAAACAGTAAAAAATACAAAATTATAATAAGACAAACCCTAAGAGAATGAAGTAAGTCCACCCAAGAAAATTCAACTCTCACAATTAAAATCTAAAACAATTGTGAGAGTTAAATTTTCTCCTCTTGGTCATTGTAAATCAATGCTTTAAATTTTCTCCTCTTGGTCATAGTTAAATTGTGAGTGTTAAATTCGGTTTAAAAATAAATTTAACTCTTGGTCATTGTAAATCGATGCTTTAAATGTCAAAATTATCCGGCTTTCTACATGTTTTGGAATTAGTCCGAATTTTGGTATTGAATCTATCCCGTTATCAAATATAAATAAAATAAAAATAGCTAGATCTTTCACATATTTGGGATTAGTATAGGATTCAGTCTCGACTCTTGATCCCCCATACTTTAAAAAACAAGAGAATTGAAGATCATTTTAAAAACAATGATATGTGAAAGTTCAAAGAGTAAGAAAATGTGAATACATTGACATATATGTAGGCAATGTTTGCACGTTGGGAGCCAAGACACATAAGACATTGCTATGAATTTCCATCCCAACAATATATCAAAGTTGGATCTGTTCTTAGCAAGTTTGGTTACACGGATGTTGCTCTTCAAGTTTGCTAACAAACCGAGATTCAGGTAATTTGTTTATATTCATTTTCAAGGTGTATTCGTATCCTCTTGAAAGACCCTTGTGTCATAGACTAGCTAGCCGGAGAGATCTGCAAAGTTTTGTCCGGAACTCTCCCAAAGCATTCGAAACCGACGTCCGGAGATTCTCTCCAATAAACAACTCGAAGTGGCATTAAAAGATCTCATTCAACACCGCAATAAATTCACTACCTAAGCTCTTCTTAAACCTTCATGGTGACGTCACCAACAAGCACCTCAACGGCAGCGTTCCGTATTACAACTTAAACGGCATCGTTTCATATCACAACGACGATAATAATAACTTTAACGGCTGCGTTTTGGGTCAAACTACGCAGCAAAACAATACCGTATCAAAACCTCGATTACACGGTGCCGTTACGTTCTCTAACTTTGGTGCTGCCACGTCGGATCGGAGACCGGTGAGGAATCGGCGCCGACTGGAGACAGGCAGAAATTGAGGAAACCATTGAGCAAAATCGCGGTTATCAAAAGTTTGGAGTTGCGTTACCGTTTGCGTCTCTTCTTGTGGAAATGGTTGCGAGGTTTGATAATGTGGTTGATAAGCTGGAGGAGCTGTGTACGATTGCATGTTTCAATGAGTACGATAAGACTGTTGATCGGACGGATGTGGAAGTGGGGGGGTTCAGAAACCGGTGGATCTTGTGGTTGGAGATTCAAACCGAGCGGTATGCTACGTTTTCGTTTGGTTTCTACATTATTCGATAAAGTTTCTACATTATTCGATAACATTATTCCACAATGCTCAAGTAATTCCACCAAGTACAATTTTCAAAATCATGGACCGCGACATCATCAACATAATCAAGTCGAGGAGACACAAAAAACATTGGAGAAATCTAATGCAACTTTGGATCGCATAGATCGCGTCTATTGTAATCCCACTCTTATGTAATCTTGTTTTCCTTTTTTTGCCTTGGTTACATACTCTAGGTAGATCTAGCTTGTACTACCTCAAACCTTCATTCTGATAATGATATTTACATTCTTAGAAAAAAAAAAATAACGTTTTGTGATGTTGGGAATCGATTTCGTGTTGTAATTTCCCGAATTTTTGTAGAGTGAGATGGTAATCTGTAAGTGTTCCTTGACAAAAATTACAAATCTTTCTTGTATTGGGTACATTTCTTGTTATTTTTTGCCATAACTAAAAAGAAAATGTGAAAAAAGGAAAAAATAATGGGTCCGAACCGATGACCTACGAATCTGTGGTCAACTGCTCTACCATTGAGCTCCGACACTAATTGTTCGATATGTTTATCACCAGTTTTTTTATAAATAAAGTCGCATTATACTGCATGAAAAGGAAATTTTAAAGCTTCGTTAACTAGTGAAAAAAATGGAACCATTTTGTGGATTCTTTCTTTTAGATTTTTAACTATATATGTATCTTATAGTTTCAATTATACCTAATTCTTTACATAGATTCAAGTATTTTTCATCATATTATTGGTTTTTCCGTTAGATGAAAAATGATATATG